CAGGAGCAGTGCTGGGATACAAACCTGGAAAGTCACTGGAGCTTTTTATGAGCACCAGACTGGAGTTTCAGAGGCAAAGGTGCACATTCAGCTGGTTGCCTCAATATTCCTGTCATTGGACAGGGACTATTTTGGAGAGGGACTTTCCACAAGGGCATCGAGTGACAGGACGAGGGGGAAATGGGTTTATGATGAAGGAGAACAGGGTTAGATGGGATATTGGGAAGGAATTCTTGGCTGGGAGGGTGGGGAGGCCCTGGCACAGGTTGCCCAGAGAAGCTGTGGCTGCCCCTGGATCCCTGGAAGTGTCCAAGGCCAGGTTGGACGGGGCTTGGACCAACCTCTGCTACTGGAAGGTGTCCCTTCCCACAACAGGGAGTTGGAACTGGATGCTGTTTAAGGCCTCTTCCAGCTCAAACCATTCTGTGATTCTATGAACACAGGGATTAAATAAAATTCTCCAACCCTCTCACCCTCGCCCTGGGCAAGGTGCAAAACTCAGCTCTAACCCCTCAGGTCAGCACCTCTCCCCTCATCACTCCTGCAGCAGAGCAGCCCCATCATGAGCACACAGAGGCTGCAGGAACTAACCTCAAGAGGTTAATTAACCTTCCTATGTGTTTGGTTTTGGTTTTTTAAAGGTTCTCATGATAGAAATAAAAATTCTGACAAAGTAGATCAAAACCTCCACAGTGATACCTCAGCAAAGGTTGTTATGAACACAGGCAGGGAGAAAGCAACAGAACAGGAGCATCACATATGGACATGGAAGTTTTAATTCCCAGCTGGAGACCCCAGATCAAATTTTGTACTTCTGTTGTACAGGAGTAAAACTCCTCTCACCCCAGAAACGGGGACACCACTGTTTTCTGTGCACCCTTGAGTCCTTTGCTGCTGAGGTCTTACTCCAGGCTGAACTGTGAAGTAAAATTCCCATGTAATGATTGAAATCAGGTCATTCTTAGGGGATATCCCACACAATTTAGTGCAGCAGAAAGTCTGTTCTGCAAAGTGCCAGCAGGAAACTCCTGAACCTCAAAATCACTTCACGCTGTCGCTGTCAGAGAGATGGAGTCAGCCATGGGCCATAATTCTTGTCCCCCTCATTTCATTTAGAGCCCCTTTTTTATTACAGAAGTGGAATTTGAAAAGAAAAAGCCCTGTTGTAAAAAAGACTGCCTTGAGGAAGCTGAAAGAGGCTGTCACTCTGTGTAAACTGCAGACCTAGAGTTGAAAAATCACTGTATTTGAGCCCAAACATGTGTTTGAGATCGTGATTCTGAGGCCCCCTTTTTCCCCTGACTTTTAAAGCACTTTATTTTTTGATGGCTCCCATCACAAAGGGAAATACTGCGTGGTGAGAGTGCAGGACACAACATATGATTGTATAACCTGCCATGAAATCTTAAGTGCACTTTGTGAGGAAATGCATCAAGTCACTCTGGGTCACCACACCAAACCCTGTAAAACACAAACCTAAACAGCAGCAGACAGAATGAACAAACCAGAACCTCAAAATAACTGCACAGGGCAACTTTTCAAAAGGAATGAACCTGGAGGTGGCATCAACTTGGTTATTAAACCTACTTAGCCAAAAGTGGGGTTGTAACCTTGCCCACCTCTCAGCAACAGCTTAGGGGAATTTTTTTTCCTGTCATTTTCTTAGGCTGCCTGGTGCAAATATTAAGTTTTAATAAAACCTTTCCTTCTGCCTGCAAGGAAAACTGCTGACAGGGTGCACTGAAATAGAGTCCACACTCCCAGCCAGGCAGAGGGAGCCACTGCAGCCCGTGCTCTGGAGCCTGTTCCTGTTGAACAGGAATAATAAGAATTTAGAGGATAAATTCAAGTTTTAACTGCACTGCTTGTATGGTAACGAGATTGTCCAAAGTAGCAACTAACTGCTGATTTCAGATACGTGGAGCTAATCCCAGCACTGGCAGCAGGACCTTTTTTGTTCCCATTTGAAAGCAAAAAAATAAAAGTGTTGTTGAGTTAGCTTGGCTGCCTCAAAAAAAAAAAGCTCCCCATCATTTAGTTTGCCTCCTCTGATATAACAAGGACCAAAATTCATCTTCCCACTCACACTGCAGAGTTCTGACCCGGGGATGGGTGCATGGGGAGTGATAGGAACAGGATCCACCGTGGTGTGTGTCTTCCACAGAGAAGTGGTGACTCTTCTGCTGCTGGTTAAAACCAACTAACTGAGCATTAAACATCATAAAAACCCCTCATTACTGCTCATTAGAAATGCTTGGAGTTTAAAGGAGTGAGACAGCAGTTAAGGGCAACCCTCAGAGGTCTCATCAGCCCCTTTAAAATGCAGTTTGCAGTGAGGGCAGTGGTGGGAGAACAAGCCCTGGCACTGCAGCCTGATCCTGCTGCTGCCATCCCACCCTGTCAGGACAGACAGGGACCCTCAGAGACACCACTCTGGGATGTGCAGGGGCAAGTGGCTGCCCAGACCAGTGGGATCATCAGCCCACTGCCCTGGCTTCACAGAACCATGGAATCATTTGGGTTGGCAAAGGTCTCCCAGCCCATGGATCCACCCTGTGCCCGATGCCCACCTTGTCCCCCAGCCCAGAGCACTGAGTGCCACGACCAGGCCTTCCTGGGACACCTCCAGGGATGGAGACTCCACCACCTCCCTGGGCAGCCCCTGCCAAGGCCTGAACACCCTTTCCAGCAACAAATTCCTCCTCCTGTCCAACCTGAGCCTCCCCTGGCACAGCTGGAGGCCGTTCCCTCTCCTCCTGTCCCTTGTTCCCTGGGAGCAGAGCCCGACCCCCCCCCGGCTCCCCCCTCCTGTCAGGGGGTTGCAGAGCCAGAAGGTCCCCCCTGAGCCTCCTTTGCTCCAGGCTGAGCCCCCCCAGCTCCCTCAGCCCCTCCTGCTGCTCCAGCCCCTTCCCCAGCTCCGTTCCCTTCCCTGGACACGCTCCAGCCCCTCCATGTCTCTCTTCCATGAGGTTCCAGACCTGGACCCCGCCCTGGAGGTCCCTCAGCAGTGCCAGCACAGGAGGACAATCCCTGCCCTGGGCTGTGCCCACACTATCCCTGGTCCAAACCAGATTCCATTGGGCTCTTGCCCCCCTGGGCACATCTGGACTCGTGTCCAGCCTCTGTCACCAGCACCCCCAGGACCTTTCCAGATCCTTTCCAGCCCCTCTGTCCCAGCCTGGAGCTGCAGGGGGTTGTTATCACCCAAGGGCAGGACCAAGAGCTCTTTGAGCTGCCACTTTCCCCTCCCTTCATCATTTTGTGGGGGAAAAATATCCTTTAGACTAAAAATCATATGGGCCATCACACAGGAGGCGATTTTGTCACAGGGTTTGTTGTCCTTCCACCCGTCCCACCTGTGAAAGGAAAAGAAAAACGGTAAGACCTTGGTATTTCCATTTGTGCATTGCTTGAGAATTGAAATGCAAACCTGCCTTGTCCTGCAAGAACAAAGAGAAAACTGAAGGCTTAAATATTTCTGTCAGACATTAAGAAAGAGAAATCAGGATCAGAGAGCACAGCGGGAGGACAGAGGTGGTTTTGCTGGGTCCAGTGCAGCAGCTTTCCCACAACAGCTTTCCCTGACAGCCAGTGCTCCACAGGATCCAAGGCACTGCGGGAAGTGAAGGGAAGCACTGGAGAAGGGCTCAAGTACCACAGTGTGGTGGCAGCTGGGAGATGTGTTTCTAAAGGTAACACCACAAGTGAGAAACACAGAGTACCCAAAACCAGCAGTTTTCACCCCTCAGAAGCAAGATATGAGAGCAAGAATGAGGGCAGAATTGCCTGGAGCACTTTGCACAACCCTGAAAAAAGACTGGGGACAATAAACTCCCGGTTTTGGCTCTTCACGAGCCAATCCATGTGACTTTACGTGATGCCACCAGTGCAGAGAGAAAATGGGCATTTCTAAAGTCTGCCATTTGTGCTCTCTAAATTAAACACTTCTTTAAATTGCTTATGATTATCTTCTAAATAAATGAAGTGTGGCAGGTTAAGTAACTTTATTTACTCGGTATTTAATAAATACTGTTCAGCTGAAGTTTGCTTAGTCATACACAGCTAATAATGTGCAATAATCAAAAGAAAATCATCACATTCTCTCCATGTACTCCTATTTTGTTGGCATCATGTTTTTGCCTCTTAAATTCACTTCTCCTGGTATTTTTCCTGCTCCACTGGGTTTTCCCTTCCACTCCTGAGCATTAATATTTTAATGCAGTGCTTCTCCAGGTTGTTGGTCTGAGATGAAGCAGGTTCTCCAAGTCACAGGTCCCTGCCATGGCCAGGTGTTTCTTCACCCAGAGGACACTCTGAACAAAAAAAAAAACAACCAGCATTTCTTTTTTTGTTTTTTTTCCCTGTAGAGTGAAGTTCAGCAGAGCTGGGAAGGGAATGTAGCAGAGAAATTAGTCCCAGTTATCCCAGTTCAACATCAGCCACTATCACACGTCCTTCAGGAGTTTTGCTGATGTTTGTGCATTGGCCACCAGCCCAACTCTCAAATAATTGTAAATAAAAAGTGACTCCTACCTTTAGAGGAGCCAGGTTTTGGGGTCACAGGCTCGGGGGTGGGTTCCAGCAGAGAAATGCTTTTGTGTAAATTCCTGTTAGTCTGGGAAAGTTCTGAACCTGGCAGTGTGGGACCCAGAGGATGGCACAGACACTCTTGATAAACCACATGAGAGACTCTTCAGCAGGTGAGTTGATGAAATCCAGGAAGAAGGAGTGCACTGGATAAAGAAATGTTGATCTTTGCTGACAGACTTAGCACTTGTTATTATGCACGTGCACAGAAGGAAAGGGCATCAGAGATGTTTACACTCTAAAACTGCTTTCTAAGCTCAAATTCACGTGATGTCAAACCTGACTTCTTTTCTGGCATTTCTTTCATACATTTCTCTTCTTAGATGGGAAAAAAAAAATTAAATAATTAAATAATTAAAGATTTGGGCGAGCAGTGGGTCCTTATTACAGCACTTCTTCCTTCTCTGTTGCAGGGATGACCTGCCAAGCCCGAAGCTCCTACATCACGAGCGAGATCCTCTGGGGTTATCGCTTCACCCCCGTCCTCACCCTGGAGGACGGGTTTTATGAGGTTGACTACAACAGTTTTCACGAAACCTATGAGACCAACACCCCAGTTTACAGTGCCAAAGAGCTGGCAGAGATGGCCAGCCGAGCAGAACTGCCCCTCACGTGGTCCGTTTCCAGCAAGCTGGACCAGCACGCGGAGCTGGAAGCCGAGGAGGAGGAGAAGAATCAGGAAGACCAAAATGAAAGAAACGGTGACGTGGCCAACTTGGAGAGCGAGTCCAAAGTGTAGAACCAACAGAGGCACAAAGGCCACACCACCTCCTTTGTCTTCTCCCTCTTGGCTCCCGGTTTCTTTCTGCGACACGCCTTTAATTCTCTTTTTTTTTCCTTCCCACGATTCTCAATCCCTGGAAAATAAATACTCAAGATGAGAAATATCCGCCTACCCGATTCCAGCTCCAGAGATTCACAGACTCCAAGGCGTGGGGTAAAGCTGCAATACCCACTGGGGATGGTGGAATCTCCATCCCCACCCCTGGTAATGACTGCTGGTTCCACCTCTCCGGGGTCAGACCTCCAGGTTTATTCACCACAAAAAAAAAAAAAAAACCACCCAAATGCAACAGAAATACAAGCAAGGGGTTTAAAAGGAAAGACTGATTCATCCAAGCGGACCTTGACTCTGGTTTTTATGTGTTTCAGGACAGTTTCACAAGCTGGGGGACAAACCTCTGTGAAATGGGCCTTGCAGCTTTAAGGGGAAGGTGAGCAGAGGGACCTGCAATCCAACAAAATACTGTACATATGCCTTATGTAACTACTTTCTCTTTACATTTAGTAATAAACACCGCATGTACAAAAGTACTGTAGTAAAGAACTTCTAAATAATGTACACACAGACGTGTAACTAACGTAGGTTTAGAAACAAGAGTCCTAGAAATATCGGGATGCAAAAAAAAACTAACTCCCCATCGAGTAGGAATTTCTCTTCAAATATTTGGAGTGTAATATTGATAATTTTTCCCCCCTCTAAGGCTCTTCTAGTGCATGACATTTTCTTCAGTGTACCAGACTGGCAGCTATTTAGAGAACCTCACTGTTTGCCAAACAGGTCGTTTCACTGACTCTAAAAAGCCATAAGTCTGGGAGAGGGCAGGGTAGATAAATCCTAACAGAACTCCTGATATACTGTGAAAATGTTTACAAATAAGGCAAAGCCGGTTCCTGGTTACTCTTTTTTTTGGGCAGTTCGACCTAAAATTTAGGCTGTGGCAAACTCATGGCTAGACAGAATTTCCTGCATACTCTTACTATAGCGAGCATGTTTCATGTAGAGGTATTATCCTTTATGTGCAATATCCAGGGAAACTCCTCCCTTCTCCCCCCCCAAACCATGGGAATTCAGCAGTTTGCTGCACCTACAGCACAAGCCATTGAAAAACTGAATTAGATTTTAGCTGCTCAGCTGGGAAAGAAACAGCTGGATTTCACGTGAAGCCAAAATCCATGAAATTTGTCTTTTTTTTTTTTTTGCCAGCAAGAGTCACGGGTGGCACAAACAGCCCTGGGTGTGTGTTTCCACAGGGTGTCCCAGCTAAACACACGGATCCTGCCACCCGTGCTCGGGGGAGAGAGAGGTTCCCCGACGAGTTTTCCACCTTAGGTAGTTGTAAATCGCTGTAAATCCTGTACATTCCACCTCAGCAAACTTTAAAACCATCGGGGCAGAGAGAACCTGCATCGCTTACGCAGCAACACCCACGTGGGTCGGGGAGCTCAGCCCCGCCACGAACTGCATTTCTGCCAGCAAAGGAGAAGAAGCTGCAGCCTTAACTCTGTTTTTTTGGGTTTTTTTTCATACCTGCCCGCTCCGGGAGGAACGAACGCACCGAAGAGAATCCGAAGCGTTTTTTTTGTACAGAAATATTTGCGTTGAAACAGAAGGAGAAAATAATTAAAAAAAAAAAAAATAACCTCAGGAGAAAAAAACTTGGTGGGCAGGTGGAAAAATTTGCACTGTGATATAGCTTTCACATTAAACTCACACCTATTTTCCTTTCTCTGATTATTTTTCTTTGCTGGTACAGCTGCTCCTTGCTGATTTTCAGAGGATAATTCCCATTCCCCCTGTGCTTCCCACCGAGGAGGGTGTGGGGAAGGAAAGGGTCGTGCAACAGGGACTGGCAGATCAGGCTGGATGGAAGGAGGGGGTTTGTGTCTCAACTCTGAACATTTGCCCCTAAAAGGCTTTCCCAAGGCAGCAGGATGCAAGGAATGGTGCAGAATAAGGAATTCTGATGGCTCAGTAAAGGTTCCTCACACTCAAATCCCGGGAGACAGCGCTGGGTTGGGACAGACCTCCCCAAGCTCATCCTCCTGCCGAGTGCTCCGGTCCATCCATCCCAACCCACCCACGGGGCTACTACTGAGAGTTTTGGGGGGAAGGTGGCTCCTCCCCAGGTCCCAGGGGAAGCAGAGGAGCCAGGGTAGCACCACCCCGAGCCCACGATCCGTGTCAGTCCTGGCGGGAGCAAAGCATTCCTCCGAGGAGAAACCTGCTTTGTGCTCCTGTGATTTACTGGGGCCGCTCTAGAACCCATCGCTGCAGTTTAACAAAAATTGCATCAACTAGAACAGCAGCTCAGGGCCCTGATTAAACCTTTTTTTTATTTATTTTAGTGTCCTTTTAGCACAAAAAAACCACCAGACTTTCCGCCACTGGGGCATGCGCATGTGTGAGCTATATTTTTGTGAATAGGGCACTTCAAGCTTAAAATGTGTGTGTTTGTCTCTCTCTTTCTCTCTCTCTCCCCCTGTATTTTATTGTCTTTGGTATCAATGTAGTACGGACTGTAAAGTTTATGAACTCTCATTTTTGTAACATAAGCTTTAAAAAAAAAAAGAAAAAAAAGAAAAAAAACAAATAGAAGCCTCCAAAGCTTTCAACGGGGGAAGCTTCACGGAAACTTTGTACTAGAATGTCCCTATCAAACACCTCTATTTTTCTACAATGATTGATTAAGCAGTTTAACAATGTATTTTGTGTCAATGATTTCAACTGAATTGGTAAAAAGACAATTAAGAATCGAATGCTGTTAATTAACAATGGATTTTCAAGCCGTACATGCCGAGTGGTGTTTTCATTGGCAGGAAATAGTTTAACCTGGGAACCTCATCCCTCAAACCTAAATGATATCCCATGGAAAGCTCAGTTCCCTATGGGAATATTTTTGGCAGATCACATTCATGGAACATGAATGTAACATCTTAACATAATTGACTACCTAATTAATCAAGACTCATCACACCCCTGTATCATTCACTAAAATATTTTGATGACTTTTTCTCGGAGTATCTTGTGATTTCCAGCAGCAAAAGAATTTCCAGAGGTGAATGTGGGCTCTCAGTGATCTCCTGCAGCTTCCAATTCCTTTTTCAATGATCAGAAATGCTGCAGATGTGCTTTGTTTAACTTAATGCCCAGAGTTGCACAGCTCTCTCTGACTCCTTCTCACTTTTATTTTTTCCTTTTTTTTTTATTTAATAACACACTGTTGTTTTTCCCCCACTCAAGTTTCCAAAACAAGTCTTCCAGGTATTAATAATAGACACAGACCTACTGCTTTCAACAGAGCAACACAAATTCCTTCAGCCAATTATTCAATCTCATGTCCATTATTTAACAATAAATCCCCTCTTTACCAGCATTAAAAGAAATCTCAGAAATTCTTTCCAAACAAACATCCAAAAATGCAGATGTTCCCTTAGGTGTATGTAGCTGTCGTGATCTAGAGCTTTGCCCTAAAACAGCAAAGCCATGGGAGCCATCCCAATAAATTTAAACTTCTGAGAGTGTCCCCAGCAGCTGCCAAACAGGATGGGACAAACACCAGGACATTGGCAGATGGTTTGGAGTTCACTTCAAGTCTCTGGCTTTAAATCTGGGTTCCTCTGTTGGAGTTTAAGGGGCTACTCAGGCCTTTCAAAACCAGAGAAGAAATCCCTTTTCTGTGTCCAGCTACAGGGCAGAAGCTCCTGTTTATCTCAGCTGCACAATGTTGGGCTGTTCAGGAGAGGGAAGACCTGGATTCACTCCTCTCTTCAGCCCAGGGATGGTCAAAGCCATGTCCCACTTCTCCAAAGGAACCAACCCTGCTGTGAGAGCCCCAGCAGATCCCCAGCACCAATTCCAAGGGCTGACTGGCTCTTGAATTCCCAAAAAAGCCCAAAGAAACTTTCATCTTCTAGTGGAAGGTGTCCCTGCCCGTGGCAGAAGGGTGGAAACAAGAGGATCTTTAAGGTGGTTTCCGACCCAAACCACTCCAGGAATCTATGATTCTATAATTCTACCACTGAATTAAATCCTTGGGGTTCTTAAAGGAAGAATGGATGATTCCTCATTCCCTGGGTTCCTCCAGTTCTTTAATGTGGGTGTGAATTAGAAGTTCAGCACTGAAAACAACTTGTCCACGTGGCAGAGGGAGGGTCGGGCACCTCGGGTAGGACATTCCTGAGCAGCCCCCACCAGAGCTTCTGGCTGTGAAACATCAAGTTTTTACTATTATGGTACTCTCTGTCTGCCAAAATATCCTTCTTTTCACAATATCAGCCTCCTTTACAGCCACATTGCCACACTCAGACACTTTTTGGGCCACAAATCAGACCCAACAACACGAGAAGTTGGCTTTTCTTTCACTCCTGTTCCTTTAGCTCATGAACAAGTTGTTTGGAAACACGAAGACCAGGCATAAATCTGGGCTTTGTGCTGGAAACAATTCTTAAAGACAAGACCTGAAAGCTGTTATTTATTGATCTTTTCCTGAGGGAATTTTAAACTTCCAGGACTTGGCTTTTTGAAAGGGAAAGGCGGTGTTGACATTCAGGATTCATTTCATGGATTTAGTTCAAGCTTATTTCTCCCACTTTTTTCAGGTCCTCTGTATTTCCAGAAATTATAGTCCAGTGGCAACTTCAGTGTAAAGCTGTACTTATTTTACCACTTGCCATTGTCCCATTTGTTGCCAGGATCCTGGTGCTCCGACACGGTTTCACACAGGGAGCACACACGCGTCACATCCAAAGATAGAGCTCTAAAGAGACTCAAATATCTCCCCATTTCATCTCAAGTGTGAAATCTGCTTTCTATTTTAAGCAAGTTCACAGCTATAAACCACAGTTCTTTCCTCTTTCTCCCCAGCTCACGTGTCGTTCACACAGAATAAAAACTTAGAAGTTTTAAATAACACCAACTGCTGTTAGTGGTTTTTCTCAGAGGGGAGAGCCCTCCCTACTTTTTTCCTCTTTTTTTTTTTATTAAATCAAAGGCAGCAGCTCCAAATTCACAGTCAAAACTCAAGGAAAGTGAAGCTCTGGAAGCTACAGCACCATCCTGCTCCCAGCTTGCTTTGAAGTCTCCATCAGCCACTCTTCCAAACCACGGAGCTGTTTTCCCTCAAATGACTGTAGGAAATCACTTGCACTGATTTTCTGGGAAGTTTAAACTGGAAGAACTGGTGGAGAAGTGCTACCCCACCACACTTTTCCCCCACGTGTTGGACTGGAGTCCTCTGGACTTGCTCCAGCTCAGCAGAGGAGCGTTCCTGGCACGCCAGCAGGAATCCTCACAGCCCTTCTCCCTGGCCACTTCCCCATCAGGGTGTCCCAAATTCCTCTGTGAAATATCCCTCCTAAAGGATGTGTGATGATGGTGTTTGAGGTGGGAGAGGATGGCAGGGTGGTGTTGAGTGTTGGATCCTCTCCACGTGCTCCTCCTGCTGAGCCGAGGACGCAGAGCTGGAGCCTCAGAAATCTTCCCAAAATGCGACTCTAATCAAATTAAAAAATGGCATTTTCCAAAACAGATGATGGTATCTTAACGAGAAGTGCCTAATCTGAAAACAACAGTCAGGTTGGGTGTGGGGAACCCCAACTGTTACACTCAGAAGTCATTTTAATGACTCTCACTCAGGCGGTGACAGAAGTCACTTCGTTTTTCACTTCATTTTGGTTCAGAGGGATGGGATGCAGGAGCTCCCAAATCTCTACCTGTGCTGCTCAGAACTGCTGAACACTTTCCAGCTCTTCTCAAGCTCAGCAGGAATTAGGAAGCACTTCTGGGAAGACTTTC